CCAGTCCTCTGAGTCTGCAGGCCAAGCTGGGGGCAGTGGGGAGGCAGCTTTGGGACATAACTGTTCTTGCCATCTCTGCAAGAGTTGCAAAACTTTCCCACAGTGGAAGAGTAGATAGTTCCAAAAATGACAAAGCTTTCCATGCTAAGTTTAATAGAAAATTTTTATGAATCCATTTTGTTTCTCTTTTAGTTCAAGAGAACTTGAACTTATCTTCCACCTGGGGTGCATTTGCTCCTAAGGGCAACTGAGGGCCAGAACCTAAAGTGATGAGGCTAATTGAACTATTTGATCAAGGTGTCATGAATTTTATTAAGAATGTGAAACTTCTAAGATTTCAAAAGCCCTGCAGAGGGCTGTTGGAATGGCTCAAGTGGTAGAAGGCCTGAGTTCAACTCCCAGTACTACCAAAAAAAAAAAAAAAGCCCTGAAGACATCTGACATGAGGGAAGCTCCTTCCCACTCCCACAATCCTCCCAAACCCCTGTCCCGTTTTTTAACTCTTACATATCCAGCATGTGGCAAAACGCAGCAACTTCCTCATCTCTTTCCTCTGAGACCTCAAACAACTCGTGGCCGTTGGCGACAGTATGGGGTCGGGAGCCCACCTTTAAGGGAAGAGCAGCTGACTCATTACCTTTTCCCTCATGGCATCCCGCTCTAAAGGGATCTAAACCCAAACTCTAGGTATAAAGACTTTCTAGCAACTCAGTTCAGTGAAAGGAACACAAGGAATTATGGGAAATCCAGAAATACATTTATCTGTCATCCTAGGAAATCGAAAACTCAGTCAGAAAAGAGGTGTTGAAACTTGGGCAGAGTATGGTAGCTGGGGTGCAATGGACAAGAGTGGCCAAAATCACTCTGTGAGGGGAATTGTCTGACCAGCCCAGTGCATCCAGTCAGGCAGTATTGTGGGTCACAGCAGAGACAGGACATTCTGGGAGGCTCCCAGAGGCACAGCAGTGAGCTAAGCAGGCAGCTGTTTATCCCAGCCCCTCGTTAGACCAGGCAGATGGTCAGCCTAAATTCTCCCCAGGGAGGCTTGGCCCTGGGCAAAAGCCTAAACATCCACAAACCCCAGGGTGATGGAGCACCCTGCGACAGGGGAGATGACTCAGAAACATGTGTCTTCTCAGTAAGTGCTATTTGAGGAAGAAAGCATCAAAGCAGCACTCTGGGCAGGAGAGAATCTGGTAGAAGGAAGGCTCGGCTCCTCCTGGCTCTAGGCCTGCTAGTTCTGAGCAGCTGGAATGTCAGGCAGCCTGCCCTGTTTGGCCCCACTTCCTTTCCCTGAACAGGCATGGTGTGCTGAGAGTCTCAGACAAGGCCCCAAGCTGTGTCCAATCCCAGAGCTGCTCTTAAGTCACCCAGGAGGGACCCCAAAGAAACCCTTAAATGAGCCCTAGGAAGGAGCAAGTTAGGGGAGCTAGGACTGACAGGCTGCAGCCTCACAGGCCTGCCCAGGGCAGCCACACAGGAAATGAGGCTTCCACTCCATGGAGTGTATCCGGTAAAGGCAGCAGGTGCTAACAGCTGCTTCCGGGGGCGGGGAACCTGGTGCTCTGGTCTGTGCACACCACCTCAACCTCTCATCCTCCCCAGTGGCTGTTTTCAGGGCAGAAGTCAGCAACTGAGCTCCCCATTTGAATATCCCCACTGTTTCCTCTGGGTGACTCTTTCTCTCATCAGCCTTGCTCTCCCGGGTATGTGTGGGATAGGGGTACATGGAGGGGACATAGCAGTGGGGACAGTTGGCAAGTGAGGCCCTGACCCTGCCAAGTGCGTGCCTGTGTCCCAGTCAAAACAATAGTACCACTGTCAGCAATTAACCCACAAAAGAGAGAGAAAAACAGAGAGAGAGCAGGGGGGAGGAGAAGGCAAGAGAGGGAGAGGGAGAGAATAGAATGGCTACTGAAGGCTATTTCATGCCCTTTCCGTACCACTCACTGGCACTGTAAGAAAACAAAAGCCACTTACGTTTGCCCGGCTGGCAGGCCCTGGTGGCATCGCTCGATGCTGGCTGGGGGAGTCTGCCAGGCAGTGGCTGGCAGCGGGGGTACCAGGCTGGCATTTGGAGCCAGCCATTTCCAGAGATGGCTCAGCAGGCCTGGGATTAGGAAGGTCACTCCGGCTGGAAGCCCGGCGAAATCGGGGTGGGGGTATAGGCCGAGGGCCCAAGGGGTCCCCTCTCCCAGCAGGCTGAGCCCCTGAACCACGAGTGAGGTGGGGAGGAAGACCAAGGTCGCATTTCCCCCCAGAACCGACAAGAGCCTTTTGCTTTGCCCTCACTTCTTCAAGGAGACTCAAGATGGAGCACCCTTTGGGAATTCTGATGACACACAAGGTGGGGGTGGGGGAAGATAGGGGAGGTGAGGGAAAGAGGAAGAACAGAGGGGACCACCTACCAGGGTGGCCTGAACAGGCCCAGGTCTGAGCGAGGAACTCTGAGCTAGGATCAGGACTCTCTCTGTCCCTATAAATAGCGGGAGCAGCCCCACCTCTCAAAGCAGGCCCTTTAAAAAGCCCTGAGCTCTGGAGCTGTGGCTTTATCCCAGAAGCTGATCTGCTTTTGGGGAGACTCCCTCAGCAGAACAGAGGAAGGAAGGACTGTGTAGCTCTTCAGAGTTGGGATGGATCCCAAAAGCTGAACATGAAGTGGGAAAGCCCCAGTTGTCCCTTAGGTAATGGATATGGAGGAAACAGGGATGGAATGAGGTAGACTGATAAGCTGCTACAGAAGTCATCAGCCATGGAGGCGCTTCTTGACTCCCTGAGTCAAGGGCAAGGGCAAAACACAAAGTAGTCTTCAGGTTCCACTCATGGAGGTGCTGCAGGTGACATGCTGCCATGGAACCCATCTGGGGTGAAATGTAGATACTAGGCTACTTTACACTGTGTACTGATATGAGTCAAATTATTATTGCCATACTGCCAATTCTCTTTAAGTATTTTCGTTGGGAAAAGAGTGGGTAGGGATGGGGTGCAGTGAAGGCACTACAACAATGTGACTATACTAAATGCCTCTGAACAGTACACTTAAAAATGGCTAAGATGGAAAAGCTTTATGTTATGTATATTTATCACAGGAAGAAGTGAGGAGGGAGGGAGAGAGGGGGGAGAGGGAAAGAGAGGGGACTTTAGAACAATGAGACCAGGGTTGAGTGCCAGCTCTGCTATTCCTTGCTGTGTGGCTTTGTACTATCAGGCAGTGTTGTTGTGGAGATCTGGACCTGGGTCTGGTATTCAGTGAGCACTGAGCAAGTGACCAATACTAGGAATGATTTCATGGCCGTGCAGCACTTTGGCAGAGCAGGGCCTCAGGAACCGGAAGCAACTCACTCAAGTCCCCAGGGCCATTCAGTCACAGAGTCGATGCTGAGTCCCTACTTCCCAATCACGAAGAGGATATGTTAGTAACTAGGATTCCAAAACATCTCCCCCAAAAGTGCTGTTTTGACCAAGAAACTTGACCCTGAGAAAAAGCTACACCATCCCTGGTGTGCCTCCCCATTCCCTATAATCAAGCCTTCCTTGGGCCTCTGCCCCACAAGAGCCCAGGGTCTGGATGGCAGAAGTAGAGAGGTGGAAAGGACTAAAAGGGGTGATACTTGGCAGATTTGGATTTAGAACAGCAAAGAGGAACTAGTTCTTGTTTCTGAATGACATGGGGACAGACAGGGGGACAGAAGAAACACAACAAGGTCCTCACCGGAGCAGCAGAAATCCGGCGGTTCTTGCCAGCCATTGCGTTCTTCCGGTTGGCACAGCGGGAGGCGTAGGTACGAGGGGGCACCTGAGGGGGCATGGTCTTGCTCCGAGCCACAGGCTTCCCAGGAGTATCCTTGCCAAGGTCTAGGGGCCCCCGGCCTTCCTTCCAGCCCCTAGTGGCATCACGCAACATCTCTGCATCATAGGTTGACTTTAAGTTCAGCCTTGTAATTGCATCATTGATGCCATCATAGTCCACAGACCCTAGCAGGCGTCCCTGGCCCCCATCTCCTGATGACTCTTCCTCTTCTAGAATTTGGTGCCCCAGGAGTTTGCCTGGAGGTTGTTCAACCAGAGAAAAATTGTTGATGTCATTGGGCTGAGAGATCTTGGAGGATGAGGGGGATCCCTTTCTGGGAGGCAGGGGAGGTGTATCCCAGATAGAGACTCGGGGTGGTAGAGGAGGTGGGGACAGTTTCTTACAAGACCCATCTATATCCCCTGGTCCTGGGGACAAAGAGAGCCCCCCATCTGAACCATCAAAAATGTAGAGATAGTCTCCAGACAGGGAGCCTTTGGGCCAGGGATCTGGGCCAGGCTGGAGACCCTGGGAGGTACAGTGGTTGGGAGGCTCTTCCCGTGGTGAGATGGAGTTGTAATTGAGGGTAGGATCTGACCCAGAGAGACCACGCAAGAGTTTGAGGTCATTTCGCCTTCCTGCTGGCTTGCTGTAGAAATCCAAGGCAGGCTCATCCCAACTGATGAGAGAGGGTTCTGTGTTCTGCTTGGCCCTGCTCTCTTTCTTGTCATGCCTGAGCCGGGACAAAGCATCATACTCCATCTGCAGGGCTTCAGCCATGGCCAGCTCTTTGCGGCTGATGCCCACTGACTCCAGGGACTTCCAGTGTTCCCCATTGCCCTGAGTCGAAGACATGGTGAGAGTGGGGGCACAGAAGACAAAGAAGCCTTCTACTTCCTGCCAGTGTCAGGTCTGGTGGACTGGCACATGATGACTGGACACCTGCAGGCAAAGGGTAAAATGTCATTCAGTCACAAAGAGATTTATCAATTATCTAATGTAGGTGACATAAAATCAAGGACAGTGCCTATTTCTTCAGTGCCCACCACAGAAGAACAAACAAACAGAAGGATGGAGGGAGAAAAAAAGAGAGATACCAAGACAACTTTATCTACCATCCACTCACGTACTCATCTCCATCTTTGATCTTAACTCCTAATATAGCTCTGTCTTATGTGCTCCCATGGAAAGAAAACGATTACCTTTCATTAGCGAAGAGGAAAAGGTAGAAGTAAAACCTATTTAGTCAAAGCTGTCTAGGGCTGGGGGGTAGAGCTCACTAGCAGAGTCCATCCCTACCATGTATGAAGCCCTGATTTCATCACCAGCATTGCAAAAAAAAATTTAGTAGTAGGAATATATAACAACCTTGGAAAACAGACAGCTCTTGCAAAGGTAAACATAAACCTACATATGACTCAACTATCTTACTCCTACTTCTCCAAGAAAAATGAGAGCACACACCCGCCCAGACATGTATCCAAACATTCACAGAAGCCTGATTTGTGTAACATCCCCAAATGACTCAAATGTCCAACAAGATAAATGGATTTTTAAAGTGCGGTATGTCTACCATTGAATACTACTCAGCTAAAACATGGATGAATCTCCAATTAACTATGCTGAAGAAAGGAAGCCCAGATGAAATAATAACAAAATAAGCCAGATGCATATTCCACTTACATGAAATTCTGGAAAATGCAAAATGATCTACAGTGACAAAAAGCCATGGTTATCTGGGGAAGGAGTAGAATGAGGGAAAGATTTCCAAGGGCTTAAGGGAGCTTTTGACAGTGATGAATATGTTCATTCTCTTTTTTGGTTTTTCCAGTGCTGGGAATCAAACCCAGGGTCTCCATGCATGGTAGACAAGCATTCTACCACTGAGCTACATCATCACCCAACCTGTTTATTGTCTTGATGGTGATGAAGGTTTCACCAGTATGCTCATATGTCAAATTTACCAAACCACATACCTTAAATATATGCAGTTTAGTACAGGCTACCTGAACCTTAATAAAGCTATAAATGAAAATACAACAGAGCCCTAATAAACAAATCTGATAATTATTCAAAGTTCACTAACAGGTGAGATGTGGTGTCTGTTAGAGTACTGATGTACACACATGTTGATCCTTGGCCTTTAGGATGCCAGACAGGACCCTTGGGAAGCTGTCTTTAGCTGCAAGCAGCCCTCTCCTTCAAAAGTCTTGACATGAAAAGTCGAGAGCCACTGAGCAAAACCTTGTAGTGACAAGGTTAGTCTGCCCAGTGGTTCCCAATCCAGCTGCACATCAGAAATACAAGGAGACTTTTAAAAAAGTACTAAAACCCACACACTCTCAAGCGACTCTAATTTAATTGACCTGTGATAGAGTAATGGTATTTTATTTTACCTTTTTTTACTTCCTAGATTCTACTCCTAGCACAGCTGAGAACCAGGGATCTCTGTGTCTGTGATTAGGTTGGGGAGGGGAGTGTAAAGCAGTCACTTCTAACCCTTGACACCAGCAGCTGAGAAGTTCACTACTTCACAAAATCAGCAGAAATCGTTCCTTCTATTGTATGGTTTCACCCAAGGGCTACCAAGCATATGAAACATGTTATTTGTCATAATTACAAAGTTGAAAATAACAACAGAAAAAGGGTCCAGATAGATTTTTTTGGCGGGGAGAGGGCTGGGGTTTAACTTAGGACTTTGCACTTGCAAAGCAAGTGGTTTATCATCAGATCTTTTTTTTTTTTTTTCTTTTTGCAGTCCTGGGATTTGAATTCAGGGACTTGCACTTGCTAGGAAAGTTCTCTACCATTTGAGCCATGCCCCTAGCCCTCAGATAGATCATTTTACTTTCTATTTTGTTTTTGAATTAGCATACATTAGTAATATAAGGGGGTTGCATTTCAGGTAGATTCTTTTTTGTTTGCTTGCTTAAGTTCCATTTGATTCGAAATAGGATGAAAGGCTCCCTTCAGCTGAGGAGCCCTCAGAGGACCCCAGTGCATCTGCCAGGCACAGGCTCAGAACCCAGACCTGAGCCATGGCTGGCTTGGTGGATCTGTCAACTACTATACTCAGGAAGCAGGTCCCCAAAGACAGACTAGATGGAGCTCAGTCTCAGGGTATCCATAGGAGCCCTCTGCTCATTTCCTTGCCTGCTAAGTTTCTTCACTCTTCCTCATTTCCTTACAAATTCTTCTGAATCCACATAGGGTCTGAGGGAGTCTTGCTATTTGAAATCCAAAGGAATTTGATGAGCAGATGGAGATGCCCGAAAAATGGGTATCCAGAGCTGGGAAACTGGTCCCAGAAAAACATGTCCTCCAGTTTTACAGATGAGAGACACTAAGAAAATGCTCGAAGTTCAACTGACTGAGATGTCACAAATACTGAGATCAACTGACTGAGATGCTAGGCAAATACTCTACCACTGAGCTATACCCTAACCTGGCTTAAGCCTTTTAATCTAGAGAATGACCATGTATTCTCATCCCTGAGGTGGGATGAGCAGATTGTTGAGATTTGCCTTAGCTGTGCACCATTGTAAGGTAAACTAAGGCCAGAACCACATTCATCCTCACTTTCTTCCATTTAGTCTCAGGGGAGAGCAGGTTGCTGCCTCCTGTAAGGCACAATTCTCTCATGTTTGTGCCCTGTCCACTTTTGACCTCCGGGATCATGTTCTGTAGATTTCCTTCCCTCTTCTGAATCTTCAACCTCTTCTCCTCAACTTGGTTCTGCTCTAACTCACAAAGACATGCCTCTTCCAGTCTTAAAAACAAAACAAAACCTACACCCTAAATGCCTTGCCTTGGCGTTTTGCCCTCTGTTCTTCCTCCCCTTCTCAGTCAAATTTCATGAGAGAGTAGATACCACCTAATGTTCCAAATTCTCCTTTCCACATACCTTTTAACTCACTGTAATTTTGCATCTGCCCCAACATCCCACGAAAACTTCTCCAGCAACATCACCCAGGCTGCCCAACTTAGGAGGATTTCCACACGCCCAGGTGTTACTGTGGCACTTGGCTCTCCACACCACTCATTCCCTTCCTCCCTACACCCTCAGCCCCCTGGCTTACATGATGCCATTTCCTTTCTTGTCCTCCACCTCCCTCTTTGTCCTCTTCCTCTGTCCACCCCTGTAATGTTGGTATCGGCTCAGGCTTCCATTCTCAGCCCCTTGATAACTCTCTAACCCTCTGCTTGACAGTCTCATCTGTTCTTGTTTCCTATTAGTACCACTCCTATGTTGACGATTACAAATATGTATCCTTCCTTCTAGTTCATGTACCCACCCATATAGAAAAATCCAAATGGCCCAAACGGAAACACCACCTTTCCTGCTCCTCCCTCCTGACTCCCCAGGAACCCTTGAGCACCACCAGGTCACCCAAGTTAGAAACCCTAAGCCCCACAACCAATCACCAGGGCCTGCAGATTTTTCCTCTTCAATGCTTCCCAGAGATAGTATGTCCTTCTATCCTAACTGCCCGTCCTAATTCAAGCCCTATCTTCTATCACTTTCACCTGGGCCATACAATAGTATCATCTCTCACTTTCACTTGGGCAGTAAAAGAGCCTCCTAACAGTCCTTCCTCCTACCGATCTTTACCAGCAGCCTGAGGCTCTAAAGTGTGAATCTGATCAGAAACCTTCAATGGCTCTCTCTTCATTGCTACTCTACAAAGTCTTTATCACTGGCCCCCATCTCCCTCTCATCTCCAACCATTCATTACAGTGTATCTGACACCTCTGTTGCTTGGTTCAAATACTTCCTTTTCCTGAGCATGCTCTTCCCGGTCCTATTAAACTTGTGACTCTCATTCCCCCTTCTGGGACTTTGCTCAGAGATCATCTTCAGGAAGTCTTCTCTGACTCCCAGATTGGACCTCCTCTCTTTGCTCCCAACATCCGCCTGTATTTATCTCAAACATGCCCTTAAAATATGTACTTAAAATTACATGTTTATGCATCTTTCACACCCTCTAAGTTCCTCAAATTCCAAATTTACCTCATTTCCACTGAGAAGAATGTTCTGACCAGAACATAAGGGCAAAGGCTTCTAGCAATGAGAACTTTTAGATAAGGAAGATAGGTGACCAGGACACAGGTGGTGTCCTTCTGTAGAGTACATCATATATAGGACTTGGTTTCAAAACTAACTGGGTTGGGTGTAGCATCTTAAGGCAGCTCACAGGTAGACAAGAAAACCATACAAAATTCTTGAGGGTCTTTGATTCCCTAAAATGAAAATGATTCTCAGAAGACTGCAAAGTCATAGGAAACAGAAGTAAAAGCCAAGGGTGATCCAAGCAGGCTCAGGGAAGATGAGCTGCCCCCTATAAACACCATCCCACTGGCTCTGGGCCAGAACACCACTAGACTGTCTGAGTCATTCAGGGAAGGAAACCCAGCCCACTGACCAATCTCACACCTAGGATCACTCCAGTAGCTGCTCCTTCCAAAAGGCTGAACACTCAGCTCAACCTGATGCCGAGAGACTGGGATGCAGTGAGGAGATAGGACAAACAGCATCCCCTACAGGAATAAGAGAGCCACCTCCAAGACGAAGAGAGGGTTCAGAGAGCAGTAGCCAGACACAGAGGAAACCTGGAGGAGTAAAGGAGGTAGCGACCAGTCCCAAAGACCTTGAGGCAGAGTGAGCTGGTTTCCTCTCAGAACTCAACACCACATTTCATCTTCCAGGCGGGAGGGACTAAGTGTTTTAATAACCCAGGTCTTATGTTTCCAGCCTCTCCTTTCCCCAATTCAGTTCCCTCTCAGCCAGTTCTGCTGGGTTGATAAATAAGATGTAGCTCAATGGTAGAGCACTTGCCCAGCCTACGAAAGGCCCTAGGTTTTATCCTAGCACCAAAAAAAGAAAAGAAGATAGGTAGGTCTCAGAAGAGGGAGAAGGAGGGTGTCTTTGCTACTTTGCCAACCATCCAGAGAGAGGTAGCAAAGAAACAAAGTGGACGGTGCCCCTGGAGTTGTACGCCTTGGTGGCCTGTCTGTGTTCTCTCTTGGTGTTCATCTCTCAGAGAACAGATGGAAATAGTCTGAAAGGTCAGTTACAGTCAGTTTCCTGCCCCTACCTGCTAATTTGTACTTTTTTCTGCTTAATCATTTGACAGTAAGATGCAAACACTTTGCCTCTAAATATTTCAGTCTGAATTCCCCCAAGAGCCAGGACATTATCCTATATAAACACAATGTCCTCAGCACACCTATAAAATTTAGTGTTGACACAATATCATGACCTAGTACATAGTTCACACTTGAATGCCTGCAATTGTCATAGGGGAAGTTTTTCAAACACAGAAATTTCTAGTCCCTCCCCTGGAGGCTCTGATTCAGAGCCTGGACTCCATATGATTCAAAAGCCCCTCAGGTGATTTGATGTGCAGTCAGGTTTGACCCCAAAGATGAGAGTGTCAGAACCCTCAGGAAGACAAGAACTGAATAAAGGGACCCGAAGTAGCACCAGGCAGTCAGCTGGTGAAGGAAGAGAACATGCTTATGGACAAGCAGGTTGGGTCCAAGCAGCAGCAGGCACCAAACGCGCTCCTCACAGCTGCCCACAGATGACTGGGGACTGGCAGGGAGGCAGTGGGGTCAGAGTCAAAGGGTGGAAAGAAGAGGCCCTCCCTCCTGTGAACCCATGAACCCAGGCCCGAGGGCAGGGCTCTAGGCACTCCTGTGGCCAGTAGGTAGAGAAGCTTCCTGGCTCGCTGGAAGGCGACACATATCAAAGGTGTTCTGCTCAGGACTTGAAGAGCCTAAGGGTCTGAATCATCTCCTTCACACATGCTGAGCCACAGAACTGGATCCTTTGGCTGCTGAGTACCCGGATGATTTTGGCACAATTCCAGGGGGTGTACCAGGTGATAGACATATGCATGAATAATTTGATCGCCCCTAGGACATAAAGCAGGGAGGCCCTGTATAGCCTGGCCATCCACTGGGTGCAGAAGATGGAAAGCCCTCAAGCAAGATGGTGAAAATTTGAAGGTCTGAAGCTCACCTCCAACCTGGGGGGGCCTTGGGTATCCCAACTTTTAGTAGTTTTTACTCAGGGAAGAGAACTCAGTTCTAGCACTGCCTTGGGAAGGGACTCTTAGCACCTCCCCTCAGGATAGTCAAGGGTCTTTTGGCTGGAGGATGGAAGAATTTAATCCTTTTAGCATCCAGATTTTTCTTTCCAGAGAGGACCTCTGCCTCTATCCATCCCCCCACACCCACACTTATGCACACCCAAAATCCCACTGGTTTTGCAGTCAGAAACCCATGCCTCACACTTCACACCACATACCTGCTCTCTGCTCCACCTGTTGCTCCTTAATCCCAGCTGAACAGGGAACATCACCACACCTGCTGCCAGGCATCTAACTCCTCTCACAGGAAGTACATCAAAGAAGGTCAAGGCCAGCTCCCTGCCTCCAACAGATGTGCACCTCATCTCTGCTTCCTTATTTAAACACAAAGGGTTCATACAGCTCTATAATCCTTTGAGGCTGGCCCATTATTGAACACATGCACCAACAAGGTCTTTCTCTTATCTAGCCTATATTCTTCTGTGCAGTGATCACTGAGCTCTAAATGTGAGGATATTATCCATTTCCCTCTCTAGTGTTCTCTTAGCCAAATTAAAGCATCTCCACACAGCGCACGGTTTCCTACCAGGACTTACATTCTATTCCTCTATTCACTACATGTGCCCTGGACTCACCACTAATTTGAAACCAAAGGTCCTAGACAAGCAGAGAGACAGGTGCTAGGCAGCCATGAGACATGGTTAGAGACTGATTTGTACACGCTACTGGCTTCGATTCAGAACCCCCAGCGTCCCTGATGCCAACTCAGAAACTATCTGTGCATTTTGTTCTATTTACACAGACACACACAGAACACAGCTTCCACCATATGCCCTGCAGAATCTGGCCTCTGAGTAGGAGAGACAGGGATGGAAGAGATAAGGCAGCTCGTGGCTCCTTCCAAAACGTTCCTTTCTCTAGAGCCAGCAACTTAGATGGCAAGGCCAGGGACCCGGAGATAGAAACCAGCTGAATGGAATGTTTGGCAAAGTGGAGAGAAAAGTCTTGGCAGCATGTGGATTTCTAACCCATGAATTATCCCAGAAGCCAGCACAGCCACATCTCCTCTCTCTGGTCCACACCTCCTGCTTTTTCCCTCTAGTCTTCCCTCACTCACTGCAGCTCCCCAAACCAGCCCTTCTTCAGTTCAGCTCTGGGTTTCCTCTGAGGAGCAAACAGACTCCTCCAGCTTCTTCTGCCTCCAGAGAAGGGTGGTAGGACAGGATGGTAGGGACAAGGAAAGTCACACAATGACTTCCCCTTACCAACAGTGGCCCCCAGCAGAGGGGACGCCTGTGTATTATCACATGCAGTTTTCCACCACTCCATCCCTAATACAAACACCACCGATACACTTCCAAACAGTGACTCCTGGAACTCTCCTCTCTATGAAGGTGCTATGCAAGACAGAAGTTGAGGTGCTCCCTCTCTGGAGAGAGACACAGAAAATGGGTTTCATGGAGGACAGGACCCAGTAACTCTCTTCATCCCTTGCCTTTCTATCTGCTATCCTCCTTTTCAGCTGGCTTCAACACACAGCTTCCTTCCTGCAAACAGGCCTCCTGCAGGATCTAGATTGTCACCTATCACCTCCAGTCTAGGTCCAGCTTTCCCAGCTCATGCCCTGTGGAATCCAGTTCTCCAGGATTCCTGAGGGGGTGGGGAAAACTCGCTGGAGGAAGCCAATTCATGAAACAGAGTCCAGAAAGCAGGTCAAAGCTGCTCCCCCACAGCCGCTCCCCGACAGCCAGGCCATCCAAGTGAGGACAGACAGACTGACAAGGCCTGTTCTGCCTGGAGGCTTTGCCAGAGGGAACAGTGAGGGGCAAAGCAGGATCCACCTCACTGTGCCACTGGGGGCTGGAGGACTCGCCATGTCCTCATGATGGTTCACCATGTCCACCAGTGTTAGCATGGAGCAAGGAGGCAGTACTGAGGGGTGTGCCTAATTAAGGCCCAACCCCAGGCAAGGCGGTAAAGATGGACATCAGGGTAACTGTAGAGACATGGGATTGGCAAGAAGACAACCAACAATGCCAGAAGACCATCCTCTGGAAGGAGGAGGCATCTTTGCTGGGGGCCGACCCTTTTTTCTTTAGCGAGTGTCTCCATCCATTCAATGGTAATTCCCTGAGTGTTTTATAATAGCAACTTCTCTCAGATATCTGACAAGTTATCTTCCTTCTGAATGCCAGGTGAGGAGACTGAGGCCCCTTAAGTGAAAGTGACTGCCCTGGGTCCCACAACAAGCCACTGATGAGCTAGGAAGGACTCAGAGATCTGAGGAGGCTACTATGGTGGTGATTCTCAGAACCCATTGGTCCCAATCCTGGGCTTTCCCACCATAAGCACACACTCAGATGTGCTAGAGCCCTGGGGCTGGGAGGAAGGAGGGATGGTACACAGGATGATCCCACATACAGAGTAGAGAAGGCAGCCAGTAGTCCCCAATGGTGGGGCTGTCTGTGGGAAGGTTAGGGGTGACTGCCTGGAAGCCTACTGTGGGAGGCAGGAGCAGGAGCAGGCTCTGTGGGCAGTGGGCTGCCAGCAGCTGACTGCCACCTGCTTGGCTCTGAGGAGGGCCAAAGGAAGTCAAGCAGAAAAGGGCTGAGGGCCGAGTCAGCCATCCATGGGAACAGGCAGAGGTGCCAACCAGTTCCTAAACCATGTCAGGGCAAGCTCATTTCCCCACTCTGGATAGGAGGCTCTGTACCACATGTCCCTGAGACTTCCCTACTGTCCTTCTGGCACCATGGCTTCCTAAATCAGCAATGTAGACATGTGGTCTGATCATAGAATTGAGTATTTCACTTAATGCTAACTCCCCAGATCAAAATAATCCTGATGGACTATAGTCATTCTCAGGAACCCAAAGCCATGAGAATCCCAAACTCAGCACAACACCCCACCTCTTTCCCCTACACTACTACACACCACACCTTTCCCCACACCCTATACACATGCTTCATCCCTCCCCTACTGCATACTTACCCCTCATCCCTTTCTCCATACACACCCTATACCCTCACACCACCCCACAATCCCTATACTTCTCCACCTTCCCAACCCTATGCCCCTCACACACATACCTGCCCACACACCCTATACCCTCTTACATCTTTCCTCCCACTCCCAACATACACCTTCTACATAGTCCCATATATTCTACACCCCTACCTTCCCACACCCCAGGACTGCCCCTCCATACGTACCCTCCAGCTAACTCATTTCCTTATCAGCTCTCTGGAAGAAGAAAGGGAGCCGCCTAGACCCATGAGACCACATCCTTATAGTGTCCTTGGCAAAGAAATCTGAGAAAAGTAGATAAAAGGTTGAACCTGGAAGAAAAGGGAAAACAGGTCATCCCAACCCCAAGGGCAGCTCAGGCCCTTCCCAAGCAGACACTTCCTTCTCTCTGGTTCAGCATGCCATGCTCTGGCAGGCCCACAGCCAGGAAAGCACCCAAGGTAAGAGAATGCTAGCCAAGACTTGGGCAGACCCAAGAGGACCTTCACCCAAAGACCTCCAGGCCCTCTGGCAGGCCCAGGGGCAGCCAGCTACAGGGTCCTCACAGACCAAGGTAGGAAAAGAAAAGGAAACCAGCTCACAAGTAGCCCCCATTTTCAGTCCAGAAAAAAAACCCAAAACAGAACACCACCAAATCTCTGGTGCTAATTTACAAAGGGGTGTTAGAGGCCTGAGGTGTGAGTCCCTCCAGGGCCACTTGCATTTAAAGAGCAGAGTGTGAGGGGAGTGGTGCCCACCCCACCAGGTCCTAGACACCTGGCTGGGAGGAATGATTCATTAAGAGGCAGGCGGGGCGGATCTCTGGTATAGACCTCCGGGTTTCAGCTCCTGAGCTGGAATCTCTGCCCCTCTAGAATGGACCCCCCTAGCACTACCCACCAGGCAGCCTGTCCCTTTGAGTCACTGATTCCTCCAGCTATTCTCAGTTCAGCCAAAACCAGGTGGCCACCAGACCTTCCCCAGTGACCATGCCATTTCCCAGCTGGAAATGGTATCAGCCCCAAAGGATATCCTGCTCTGGGTTAGGCAAGGACACTGAACCAGAGGGCTGACCAAGGATTCTACTTTACCCAGGTCCATGGAGAAATTAAAACCCACTGGGGATGCACGGCCCTACGAGAGACTCAGAAGTGAGATACTCTCCTGGGAGCCTCTGAATGCCCCCAGAATCTCCAAACAACAAGGGGACACTTAGAGGAGGGAGTGGGAGGGGATGGTAGGCGGGGTACTGATGGTGCCTGATCATGCAGGACTCCCCAGGTCAGCCGGCATAATCCTGGTCATGTTGCAGTTTCTCCTCAGCCCCACTCATCTGCATGTACAGCCTGCCAGGCCTTGTTTCCCATTCACACCTAACTCTCAAAGCCTCAAAGCCTGGCTGCCACTAAGTGTCTGGTCCCTCTCCTTTTCTTTCCATACCACTCCAAATCCTCAGAACTTCCCCAAGCCTTTCTCCCCTCTCCTCTCCCCCAATTTCCCTAAGTCAGAATCCAAGTCTATACTTGGCAAAAAAGGACGCTTAGAAGAAGGGTGTGGAACCACCTAGCTCAGTAATCATTGTCACAAGCTCCTCCTTCATGGGGCCCTTGCCCATGTGCCCCTCCCCAGGGCTTCCCAGGTGAGCAACAGTCAGAGGCCTTTCTCAGGGATCAGCTGACAGGGCTAGATGAGTGTACCCAGGGTATGAGTTTATGGGCTGGCATACTGGAGCCAAGAATCCATAGGAGCTGGGCTAAAATACCTTTACAATGCATATTAATGCCAGCTGCAAAGTCTGTATTTGGTACATTGCAGTCCAGCCTGTGGGGCCTGGACTGAGGGCATTGCATTCTGTTTTGGTGAAAGGGAGGTGGGAGAAGGGAGGGAGGCTGGATGAATACAGCCTTACAGAAATAGAAGGACAGAAATAGGACTTTTAATTTCTTTGGTATCTTGTGCCAGGTATTGTTTTATTTAATCCTCACAGCAGACCTTAAGTGTAGATATTATTATCCACATTATTTCTAGAAAACAGGAAAGGGATTGTGTGATTTGCCCATGGTCACACAACCTGGAAATGATAGGATCAAGAGTTAAACTGAAACTGTGTAAATTCAAAATTCATCTTTTTCCCATCCTGACACAGAAACCCAGGCTCACCACAATGTTCACACTGATGGTGGCAATTATTCCAGAACACAGCAGCAACAATCTCCCTCCACACTTCAGAAATTCACTCTCCCAGGCAACTCAAAGAAAAGACCCTAAGCACCCTGGGTTCAATATCCAACATACACACACATACACACAAGCATAAACAAGCAAACGAAACAAAGTTTTATAGATAAGAGAACCAATGACCAGAAGGGAGATGACTTTCCTGAATCCACCAGCTGGTCAGTGGAGAGGTGGGACATGGGTGGAGTTCAGGCGTGTGGACTCCTCTCCGGTGCTTGTCTAAGCCTGAGTCATCTCGGGTTCTCTCTCTCTCTCAATCTCTCCCCC